ATTCCCTCTGAAATCCAACCTGGGCCAGCCCCACCGGGATTCTGTCAGCTCATGAGCCCGTCCACAGTCCCGTCCATCACACTATGGGGACACTTTCCAGCAGGGGTGCCCACCATCACAGCCGATCCGATGCTGGGCACAGAGAGTCTGCTTTCCCTCTTCCCAAGGCTCCCTCCTTCCTGTGGGACTCCTGCCGCTTCCCCAGGCTCTCAGTAGTCAGCCTGACCGTCACCCGTTCTCCATGCCAGAGCCTGCGGTTCCTCAGTGCCCTGCCACCACGTCTGCTTCCAGTCAGTCCTCCCAACCCCCACCCCAGTCTGCCCTCAGTGAGTCCTGTCCCCACCCCAGTCCTCCCTCCCATCTGTCTCCTGGCATCTGGACATCCCCTGCCTCTCCTTCCTCCTCCTTCTCCTCCTCCTCCTCCTCCTCAGTTCGAGGGCTAAGGTTGAGGCCAGTAAGGTCCTGGGGGAGTGTGACAGGACTTGGAGACCCTGTATGTCTGCAGCGCCCTCGTCCCGCTGGCCACATGCTGTGCGCCGTGCGCACAGATTACTCTGCACCCACAGCGAGTCCTTCCTGGGTGCAGCCCACGTGTGTTTTTCTTCCTTCCTCTCAGCTGGAGCTCTGAGGACCGTGTTCTTCACTGGGGCTTTCTGGCTGCAGGTCTCCGTACAATGTGTTCGAGTGTACTGACAATGCACATCCATTGTCTTCTCCAGCTGCCCTTTGTCACGTTGGAAATCAGGAGAGGGCGTGTCTTTTTCCGTCGACTCCACCGTGCGCCCCGCTGGCGTCGTGGACTCTGTGTCGAGCAGTTGAAAAGTCCCAGATGCTTCCTGGAGAACGATGAGGCCCTCTCCTCCGTAAAGATCTAGTCTCGGAAATCCTCAGGGACAGTTCTCTGTCATGCAAGGTCACTGTGCGTCAGAATTGACTCCGTGACACCAAGATTGGTTCGGGGTTTTGGATTCGATCAATATACTGAAGAAGCAATCAAAGAAACTGGGTTCTATGGAGCAGAACCTGGCACCGGGATGGGGAGGAAGCTCACCAACGAGCTGCGACATGCAGCGGACGCGGCCTTGCTTGCTGGGAGCCCAGAGAAATCGCAGCACGTGCTGATGAAGGTCAAAGACGGCATCCTTCAGTGTGGACGACAGGCCACGTCCCCACAGCTGGGCCAATAGATCACTTCATGATAAACAGACAGGTGTGATCTGTACAGTCGGGTTGCTCCTTAGAGGCCAGGAGGGCGAGACTTCTTACTTACTGTGGACATGCGGTCAGGGGAGGTCAGTCCCTGGAGAAGGGCATCACGCGTGGTAAAGTCGAGGAGCAGCAGAGGACAAGCAGGCCCTCGAGGGCATGGAGGGACACTGTGGCTGCAACAGTGGGCTCAGGCGTAGGAATAATTGAGGACGGCGCAGGACCGGGCAGTGTTTCCTTCTGTTGTGCACGGGTCACCGTGGGCCGGGACCAGCTTGACGGCCCCTAACAGCACCAGTAATTACACTCGTGGAAGCTGCAGTCAAGAGGTCAAGCAACGCACTGCACGGGGCTATCCGCCGCACAGATCTAGTTACGACGGCAAAGAGCAAGGGCGGCGTCCCTTTGGAACGAAAGCGTGCCTGAGCCACGCATGGTCTTGTCTAGCTTCTCCCAGGCAGGTGGCAGCTGGGCAGGACGGAGGGGGACCCGAGAAGAACTGATGCCTCTTCAGTCAGGTACAGCCGGCGAAGGAGGCCGAGAGGACCCTAGACTGTCAAAAGGATACACAAGTCTGTCTGGGAAGAAGTCCAACCAGAATCGTCCTGAGAATGGATGATGGTCAGATTTGTGGACCTATTGTCAGGAGGGACCAGTCCCTGGAGAAGGACATCGTGCAGGGAGGGCAGGGAAAAAGAGGAAGGCCCGTCGTATGATGGTATGGTAGGAGGGTTTATTGTGCCAATAGGAACATTGGGATTAATCAGGTCGCAGTTTGATTGGAGAGCAGAGAGATAAATGGCTCTGCAAGGCCCGCCCCCTCTCTCTTGCTCTGGTGATCAGAGCAGAGTGCAACTGCTTCAGCTAGTTCTCTGCCTCGATTGGTGAGCTACACCACCGTGGGACAGCCAATCGTGTTGCTAGAGCTTGAGGCTCCTTCGAGACCTGCTTCGCCACACTGCGGGTGCGTGCATCGCTTGAGCTTGAGGCTGGTGGGTCCTGTCGCCTTGCATTGCTTGAGTTCCACATCGCAGCCGGGCCTGCTTCGCTCAGCTCCTGAGCTGCCGACTGTTGGTGACCCGCCCTGCTACGTGCTGCCTGTGTGCGGACTCTACCTGCATTGCACTAGGGAAGACTCAGCTGTCTGCTTCCTTGACCGTGGACCCATCAACCCTGTGAGTTGAAGAGCTCCCAGTATATTAACTGCTCCATGGGAGTGCGTTGAACTGAGACCTCTGTGCTGCTGTGTGGACTAATTAGCCGTTATATTCCTTCGTGCTGTGTAAGCCTATCTATAGATAAAAGTATATATATATGTATATGTGTATGTATATATATGTGTGTGTATGTATATATATGTGTGTGTGTGTATATATATATATATATATATATATAAAGGTACTCATGCGTTTCTCTAGAGAACCCTGTCTGCCACAGACGGGATGCTGGGGGCTGCATCCACGGGTCAGGTGTAACCATTGAGAGGATGGTCAGGACAGGGCGGGATTGCCTGCATACAGAGTTGCTAGGGAGTCACTTCAGATCCACGGCCCGTAGCGGCGACAACACAGTTGGGTATAGTTTTTGGGGGGATAGAAACTCTTCCCTGCACGTTGAGTGTAGGCTGGGCGGAGCTAGAAATTCCCCGTTGCAGGCATTCTCCTCAGAACAGTTAAAGTGCTCAGTCTGTGTGTTTGATGCCTGGTCTCTGCTCACACACTCATGAAGCTTTCCTGTCTTTTGCCACCTGGCTCTGTGTGCGTGTGTGTTGTGTGCGTACCATGCTGAGGGGAACCCCTCCTGACTGAGAATCGCAGTCTCTTGCCGAGAGCCGAGCACCTTGCCACGCGTGTCTGTGCTCCGCCGTCCTCTTCGGCGGGCCATGCGGAGGCACAGAGGGCGTGGGTTAGATGGTGGACTCCGGGGGGACAGGCATGTCTTGTAAAATCTGACCATCCCGCCTGGTTCTCATCCACCGAGAAGGCCGAGGCCGGTGTCTGTTCCTGTGTGAGCAGGGCGGCGTCCCCAGTGTGACCTCACGGCCACCTTTCCTGAGCTGCCCCTCCTCCCCTTCTCGTTAGCTGGACCCCAGGTGTTGGGATTCTCGGATAACCTCATCGGCATGCATATCTCCCTTTGCCACACGTCTGTCTCCAGGTTACCCAGCACCCCACAGGTGGTAATGTGATCCACGCCTGGCCCCGCCTGCCTGCCTGGCCCCCACGTGGGATGCGGGGAAGGTAGCTGAGGGATTTCCTGCAGCCTGCCATGGCCTCCCTCTCTGGCTTGGGGTCTGGGGTCCGTGGCTACCGAACAGATGCCCCTTCCACAGTGCTGGTGGCAGATGAGAAAGACATGGCCAAGGATGGGAAGCCGCCTGTGGTCGTTGCATCGTCCGGGGTCGACTTGAGACTTGAGTGAAGCGGTGGAGTCTATCCTGTCATGATGGAGATCAACAGCTCACTGCAGGCGGGACACACACTCCCTCCCTGAGAGGCATGCTGATGGAGCCAGAGCCTCGGAGTTGGAGGAGCCACGTGGAGACCCACGCCAGCGCTGAGACGCTTCCACTGCCTCCACCAGACTTCCCACCCACCGGCCTGTGATCTTCCTGCATTCGGCATCATTGCTTGTGTTGCGTGAGTCTGAAGAGGAATTTGCAGACTGGTACTGGACATAGGGGCTGATATCAGACCTATGGACTTGATCTGGACTGGGCTGGGATGTTTTCTTAATGCACAGTGACTCTCTATATAAAGCTCTTTCCTATACACATATGATCGTCTTTGAATTTGTTTCTCTAGTCAGCTCAGACTAACACTGCCATTGCCCCCATGCCCAGAAGAGCCTTCTGGGTGGGCTGTCTTCCCACCCTCTTGTCCTCACAAGACGCTTCTCAGACCAGGGGGACGCTTCCAGAGGTGGAGGTGGCCGGCCCGCCATTTCTGAGCTGCTTGTCCTGTGGCTGTTGCCCAGAGCGAGTGCCCCACGGCTGGAGGCTCTCGTTTCAGATGCAGAAACGGTGTCAGCCTCCAGCTGGAACCTGAGCCTCTGGCCTTGGCCCTGAGCTGGTCACTCAGGCTTGGGGGCCCTGTGCCCTCAGGCTGGTCCTGGGCTTGCTCCTTTCCGGGGTGTCTCTCCTGTATTCCCTTGTTTAAAGTTTGATTGTGATGTGGGTGACAGATTACAGAGCAGACCGGCAGTGTCACATCCCATCGGCCCCTCCTACACACTGCCCTTCACCTCCTGTGCTGCTCCACCCCACCCCCGTGTGTCCCTGTCCCCACGCCACCTTTCTTAACCCTCTGAACCTGGCCCTTGGGCCACTTGCCCTTTGGATCTGAAATGGCCGTTATACTTCCAGGGGGGATTGGGGTGGGGGCAGTCAGTTCCAGGCTGGCTAGAGATGGGGTGGGGTGACTAAGGGCCCCAGTCTCGGGCCCAGGCCCTCTCCGACCAGGACGCCTGGCTGCTTTGTGACTCTGGTTCTGTGTCTTGTTTTCCTCCCGCTCAGGCTGGGCCCTCTGGCGGTGAGGTCTCGCCTTTATCATTTTACTGCGCATGAGCACCTCTCGCCGCTACGCTCCCCAGTTCCCACCAACCCTCCACCTTGGGCTTGTCCTGGCCTCCCAGCCGGTTCAAGACTGGAGGGGGTGGGAGCATAAGTGGGAAAGTTGCCGGGGACCAGCACCAGGATGCGAATGTGCATAATCAGGCCGGTCTCCAGGCCACCGCCCCTGAGGTCCCTGGGCCACCCAGAGGTGGAGAGGGACCATCTGGGACCAGCACGTGACTCTGTTCTCCCCTTACCCCCAGCAGCATGGCCGACAGCAAGGCCAAAGCCGCCAAGACCGCCAACAGGACGCCCCCCAAATCTCCGGGGGACCCCTCGAGGGAGAAGTCAGCTGAGCGGCTCCCGCAGGAGCCAGAGGGCACCCCTGAGGGTGCGGCAGCGCAGGGGCTCAGCGCCCTGGAGGAGGCCTTCCGGAAGTTTGCGGTGCACGGGGACACGAGGGCCACAGGCCGGGAGATGCACGGGAAGAACTGGTCCAAGCTGTGCCGGGACTGCCAGGTCATCGATGGCAAGAACGTCACCGTCACCGACGTGGACATCGTCTTCAGCAAGATCAAGTGAGTGCGTGCCCACGGCGCCCCGCCGCACCCCACCTCACCTCGCTGCTCCCCCTCTGCTTGCCTGCTGTGCCCCTGTGTGCACCCCTGTGTGCGTGGGTGTGGAAGCATGTGGGCACCGGTGTGTGCACAGGTTTGTGTGCCCCAGTGTGCACACGTGTCCATGTGGATTCTGGTATGTCTCCATGTACGGACATTGGTGTCTGTGTGTGTGCATGTCGTTCAGCCCATGTGCACGCATGTATATCAGCATCCATCTGTAGACATATGTCTGTGCACGCACACCCGTGACCGTGTGTGCACACATGCCCACAAGTGTGTCAGTGCTGCTGTGTGCATGTGTATCTGTATGCATGTGTCCACGTTCACGTGCACCCAGTCCGTGTGTACATGTGTATGCACACGTGTGTTCACGGTCACATGTGTCGCACCCACGTGTCCATGCATCTTTCCTCTGTCTGTCAGCTGAAGGCTGGACCACAGGGCCGAGTGTAGGTGCAGGCTAGCAGCGGAGGAAAGGGCCCAGTCTTGGGGGTCCCAGCAGGCCTCCCAGACCCGTCTGGTCCCTCTTGCGATTGTGAGTTTTCTTCTCAGCTTCCTCCCATCTCTACAGGCGCCCCCTTACTAGAACCTTTTCAGAGAGGCCAGCAGCCAGGCACCATCTAGGTCGTCTGGTCTCAGGGGAACGGATGTATAGCTGGGGCGGCTGGGGAAGTTTTGCTCCCAGGAGTCCTCTCAGGGGGCAGAGTGTAGGCACCACCAGGGGCCCTGTCCAGGGTGTGTGTCGAGGGTAGGTCCCTGGAAGCAGGGCGTGTGGGTACAGTGGCTCCCTAGCCTAGGTGGGGTGACAGGGCAGGTGCTGCTGCAGACTTGTTCCCTTTGCCCACATCCCGCTCATCAGGGTGGCCTGCAAGCAACCACACATGCACACACACGTGTAGGCAATGACATATGTGCACACATGACCACACAGCCACATAGATAGTGCACGCATGCCAGTGTGGACACGGACAGGCACACCCACGCATGCACAGCTGTGTGCAGGCCGGCAGACAGATGCGTGCAAACATACTATACACAGATACACACACGTGTGCACACGGGCATAAGCATGCGGTCTCACACACTTGCCAGGTGGGGAGGTGGTCAGTCATTGGTGAGGACAGAGGGGTCCAGGGCAGCTGGCGTGGCCTCCTCTGCTGGCCGGGCTGCAGGTTGAGTCCCGGGAGTAAGGTCGTTAGGTCAGAAGGGGCTGCCAGGGATGGCTTCATTGTTGCAGAGTTTGGGAGGGGGCCTGTGCATGCCTGTGAGCCTCCGCTGTGGGGTCTGCAGGGCCCAGGACAGACACAGCTGAGGCCAACGTGGGGGTGGCAGAGCGCCCAGGCCCAGCCCAGGGGCACGATGGCCCCACTAGGCCCGAGGTGCTGCCTGCCGTGCCCTGTGACAAGGCTGATTCCTGGTCAGGTCACTCACTGCTGACGGTGGGATGCCGTGGCTCTGGGCCCCACGCCAGCCCCGGATACCCGCCGGCCTCTGTTTGGACCCTGTTGCCATGGTAGCATCTATTTGTTGTCATGTTACCATGTGTAAACTTTAAACAAAGTTTCTGCAGTTGCTGAGAGCATTCTGCGCCACAACCCTGCTGCTGCTGACCTACTGCTAACCTGTCGCTGCTAACTAGCTGCTAACCTGCCGCCGATAAGCTACTGCCAACCTACCACTGCTAATGTGCCGCTAACGTACTGCTAGTAATGTGCCGCTGCTAGCCTGCTGCTGCTAACCTACCACTGCTAACCTGCCGCTAACCCCACTGCTAACCTACTGTTGCTAATGTGCTGCTGCTAACCAGCTGCTAACCTGCTGCTGCTAACCTACTGCTAACCTGCTACTAACCTACTGCTAACCTACCACTGCTAATGTGCCGCTGCTAACCTACCACTAACCCACCACTGCTAACCTGCTGCTAGCATGCTGCGCAACAACCCTGCTGCTGCTAACCTGCCACTGCTAACCCACCACTGCTAACCTGCTGCTAGCATGCTGCGCAACAACCCTGCTGCTGCTAACCTGCCACTGCTAATGTGCTGCTAACCTACCACGGCTAATGTGCCACTAGCATGCTGTGCCACAACCCTGCTGCTAACCTGCCACTGCTAACCTACCACTGCTAACCAGCTGCTAGCATGCTGTGCCACAACCTTGATGCTAACCTGCCACGGCTAGCCTACCACTGCTAACTTGCTGCTGCTGCTAACCTACCACTGCTAACCTCCTGTCAACCCACCACTGCTAACCTACTGCTGCTAATCTACCACTGCTAACCTGCTGCTAACCTACTACTATTAATCTACCACTGCTAACCAGCCCAAGATGCCTCTGCCACCCTCTGTGTCCTGGGCCCAGGTTTCAAACCAGAGCCGGGAAGGGTGGCTGGCTGGAAGCCCAACGGTGCCTGTGCGTGCGTGCCTGGGTGTCTGTGGGGAGGGTGTGGCCCATGGTCTGTCTTGCTGCTCCTCAGGAGCCCACGCATGCTGGCTCCAGCTGGGTGGCCTCAGGTCACCTGGAGAGGTGAGGGGGGGAGCTTCCTGAAGGGACTTCCCTCGGGCTGGGGGGTGATGCATGCCCAGCTCGGGCTCTGCGGCCACACTGTCCACTGCCCGCTCAGAGATGTTGGGCCGCCTCTGGTGAAGGCGGGCTGCCATGCAGACCCTGAGTAGGGCTGCTGCTGACCTACCCAGCCAGATCCAGAAATTGCTGTCCGCCTGAGGTGGGGTCGCCAGGTGTCTGTGAGACAGGCAGGTTCCAGCTTCTGGTGAGAGGCCATCAGAGCCGCAATGTGACATCCTCTGTCCCCCTCCCGAGTGGGACTGTGGCTGGGGTGACCAGGGCAGTGGCCGGGATGTGGCCACCGAGTGCTGTCCGGGCTGTCCTGGCTGCTCTTGTGGATGGCAGAGGCAGACCCGAGGTCACAGGAAGCCTTTCCTGAAGGAGCCCCCACCCCACCACAGGCACCCTGCTGCGGGGTAAGCACGGGCTACTAATCTACAGGTCAGAGGTTTCCATCCATCCGACTGCCCGCCGGCTTGCTGTACGTCAGAATCCACCGGACTGCCAGCAGCCGGTGCTCTTTGCTTCGGTTTGGGGTCTTCACACACACCCATACCTTCAGTCTAATACACGGCCAGCACGCACCCACCAACATATCTTCCCACCCACGCCTTCACATGCGTGCACACCGTCAACTACACCGCCATCATCCACAGACATACCTTCACACATACACACATGCCTTCACATACGTGCACACCGTCAAATACACTGCCAGCACACACATCCACCAACATATCTTCACACCCACGCCTTCACATATGTGCACACCGTCAAATACACTGCCATCATCCACAGACATACCTTCACACACACACACATGCCTTCACATACGTGCACACCTTCAAATACACTGCCATCACACACGTCCACAGACATACCTTCACACA